ACACAAACACACACTGTCAGGCAACGAGGAGAAAACACAGTCAGGTTTTCATGCAGATCTTGCTAAGGCCACACAGTGCAAGCTGTAGCATTAACCACCAACCCTACTGCTGTGCAGGCCCAGCTCCCTGCCCGGCTGGCATCGCCCTGCAGGCTGAAGCACCACCTCCACCTCTGCTCCCCTTGGCCCCTCCTCATCGCCAGGCCCACTGCGATGCACAGCCCCACACAAGCTGGCTCTGCTCCTAACACTGCCTGCTGTGCCCTCAGCCGTGTGTGCTTGGAGTTTGAGACAGGATTAAAGCTCTTCAGCAGCAGAAAAGAGACCAAAGTAGCTGGTTATGAATATTTCTCTTATTTATCATCACAGCCTAGATTAAACACCATTTTGTCTTCCAATCATGTTTTGTTTTCCTTCCCTGTAATCACAGCATCCAATACCCCACACCCAGGTTACCAAGAAGTGTGCCTACTGAGAAATTGATTTTCAGGGCTGAGTCCTTGGAACCACCCCAATGTCCTGAGCCTTCATTCTGCCTTTTTCAGTTCTCCCCATGGGTAGGTTGAATGCCAAAGTTCTGTGCTGCTGATAACAAAAGAAGAAGCAGAACCTTTTTCTTCTGTTTCTCGCATCCTCACAATTAATTTTCAAGAAAAAAGGAACAGAATTGCAGGAAAACCTTGCAGAAAAGGACCAGCAGCATGAATGCCTCTGCAGACACCACCGGAGCTGTTAGTCTTTGACTCCTGCTGGCAGTCAGTCTTGTCTAAGCCAGGAATGTGAGCTGTGCACAGGGAGGAGGACATTTTAATTTTGTTATCTGGCTCGCTGGGAAGCACCTTCACCTCTGAAATCAGGAGGTGGCATGTTGTGTACATTGCAATGAGGCTTGGGCACCTGCCCAGAGCTAGCACTGTGCTGCTGAATGATGAAGGGGAACTGTTGTGCTTGGAAAAAGAGCTGATGAATGCACAGTGCATTTCAGAGTACAGGAGACGATGCCAATATTCTGATGTCGACTCTCAAAGCACTCTCTCTGCTTAAAATGCTGAATAAGTTGGACACCAGAGAGATTAAAATAAACGTTCCCAGAAAATTAAAAAAGTGTAAAGATATACAAATGCATGGACATAAATAAATGGATATATAAACATCTGTATGTACCTGTAAATAGAAATGTACAGGTATATATACTGCCATATTGATAGAAAGGATTGAGAAATGCAAGTACAAAAAAGAAAAGAGCACAGAGCGGTGCATCGTTATTCTGTCTTATTCCCACTCTCTGCCAAAACTCCTGTAATTCAAACTAAACAGATAATGAAATGAGATCAAACAGATAATGCCAGTCCTGACAGTACTTCTGCAGAGTTCACTATAATACTTTGACACATCTGCTTTAGAAAGGGAAGGTCCTTCTCCTCTGGACTGCATGATGGCACTTACACTGCCATGCCAACAGCTCCTTCAACAGCAGGACAATTTCTTTTATAAGACCAAAAGAAAAGTTGGGTTTACTGTATAAGATACAGTAAATGTACGTATCTAAAAATAAAACATAGGATTGCTTCCTAGAAAAAACCTGAGCCACTCATGAAGGATAGGTCTTTGCATGTTAGTAAGAACCTCTGGCTCATTCACCTTGGTAGTTCTGTTAATATTGTATGAACTCTTTTTTTCTCCACTAAACATAACACCATTTGGGCTAATTCAGGATAGACCTTTTTTATATACATAGCACAGTAAGAAAGAGGACTATCACCCAACTTCATGTGCAATGCAGAAACCATATGATGTTTCCACTACAGCACACATTAATGAATATGTCTAAACCTCAATTTTGTTGTCACTTTGCTTATTCCCTTAGTTTATTCACATTTCTATATGACCATCTCAGTTTGATTAGTCATAATTATTGGTGCACACTCAAATTCTGGTGGCTCATTTGATCATTCCCCATTAGAAATCAGCAAAGAATTTCTTAAAGAACTCTGGGCTAACCCGATACCAGGCTGCTTTACCTCACTCTCTGTCTTTCAGAGGGTGATCCCCCTGACCATACTTCCAGGCTGTTAACATTATCTGTTGGGAGAGAGGGAGGTACTGATTGCCTATAGCTATTTTTAAATTATCTGCTACCGTGGGGACCCAATCTTGCTTGAAGACTGTCAGAGTGATCTCACAACAAATATAAGGATAGTCCAACCACGTGCAATAATGCTATTTTAGCCAACATAATGTATATCTGGGATGGTGTATTGGTACACATACAGAGAGCTGCTGTGGAGTGCCATTTTCCCCTGTGTATGTAGAACTCTAGTCCATAGCCTTATGGTTAGGTATGACAACTCAAAATGAAGAATACAGAGTTCAAAGTCTTAGGGCTCATCACCATCTCCATCTCCCCAACCATCTTGATTTAAAAAAAACCAAAACAACGAAAAACAAATGGAAAAATACTACTAGGTTAATACAGACATGCTAATGAAGCTTTGTTATTATTTTTTAAAACTCATTTATAGTGTTAAACTGTAAAAGTGTTAAGCTATGGAAAAGGAACCTGATTCATGGATGCATTAGGAATCTACTCAACTAAAGCCCCTTTTCACAAATTAAATCATAAACCAAGAGTCAAACATGATTTGTGAAATTAACATTTATCGAGGAAACACTCCTTGGTGATGCATCGTGATTAGTCTTTGGCATCTGAAATATCACCCATAATTCACAAGCTTCTCTGAAACGATGCCACTATCGTTACTGTTGAAACGGCAGGCATGATGGAAAGGCGCTGCCACAATCAGAGAGCGATCCCTCTTTTGGTGCTGCTGAGAACCAGAGGTCACTGTGTCGTATTTGGGAATGTTCATGCATCCTCACTTCTCATCCCACACACATCTCAGCCTAACACAGGCACTCTTTTCCACTTCTTAGATTTATCCAAGGCTATGGCTGTTTCTAATTTTAAACAGGGAGGCTTGGCAGCAGCGCTGCATTATGCCCTTTCTTTAAAATAGTGACTAATAAAAAATGAATTACAATTAGGAGTCACTGGCAGTTTCACAGAATCAGTGTCTTTCAGCAGAGGGATTCAGTGCTTTTGTGGGTAGAGGCAGACAGCTCAGTCTTACAGAACCAGGAGCTATGGCACAAAGATGACTTTGTGTGACTGACAAAGCCTGCTTTGGGGCCCAACATATCTAGAAGCCAGGAACTCCAGATACAGGTTAAAGGTATGGGATGCTTCCCTTTACAAGGTGATTTTTATCAGGACGATAGCATATCTACCGAGAAATACAGCCATTTTTGGAAGTCTTCCTGTAAGACTATTCCCACTGTTCTGAGCACTAGATATTCGTTGGCTTGGAGCAAAATATGCCCCAAGCCTTTTGGGAGGGCTGAAGGATTACTTAGCTCAGCTATTGCCTTTGCAGGTGTTCAGAGTAAGTAGAAAGCTTCAGTACCTTTATAATCCATCTCTTCACCTCAAGTTGTTGTCCCTCATGTATTCCTACCTTGTTTTCGCCACAATTCCTACCTTGTTTTCACCAAGTATACATTTACCTGGAAAACATAAGCTGCAAGCTGGGTTTATGCTAGTGTCCATGTGTTTGTGTGCATGTACATCCAAATTATGGAACACCGAAGTAAACAAGAATATACCTTCTCTCTTACCTAAAAGAAAGCCAATGGCCTGATTTTAGCTTCTCTTAAACCAGAACAAAGTGGTAGGTACTCTTACAAATGGTACCAATCCTTCCTTTTCAGGACTAAAGGAGAACATCCTGCCTGTAAGCCTCATGTGTACTAACTGTGTCCTGCACACTGAGCGGACTGCATCAGATCTGGGCCTCTGTTTTCAGCTGGGGCAAACAAGGCTTAATGGAGTCATGACCATTTTTGCCACCGAGAACAGAGCACTCAGTATGCAGCTCAGAGAGCATCTGAGCCAGCCTACACCACGTGCCTGTACGAATGCATTCTGGCAACCCCACTTCACTGCCAATGGCAGGCTCTGCCCCACAGGAGGATGGGGAATCCAAAACAAATTACTGACTGCTCTACTAAACAAACCTTTTGGCACAGAAGCCTCACTTCCTAGAAAAGGAATTCACTGGTCCAGTAAGAATGCTGGCTGAAAAGTCCACGAGGGATTGTTACTGTCATTCAAAATGCTTTCTTTGGGTAAACAGTTATTCCCTTCTTGCATTGTGACATTGTGGAGAGGTCACTGAAGGATGCTGGTTTTTAAAAATTGTTTGATTCTTTTAAACACTCTCTTCTACTTGCAATAACCTGCTAAAAAGATGAAAATAACACTGAGTTTCCTACTGGTTTGCCCTTTTCCATTTGGAGAGCATTGATTTTTTCCCTGTTGTGCCAAGATTAATATGGCCTGTTTGTTTGACAACAGATTCAACATATCTAGTGCCCTGTCAAGCTAAAATGACTCTGTCTGTGGACAGCACCCCTGCCTGGCACTGAAATGATCTGAAAAAAGAAGGCTTTGCTAGTTAACTGTCACTGCAAAACCATGAGGACATTTTGGTAGCCTTTAAAAACAAAAATTGTTGTTGATAGTATATTTAAAATATTGCTGGCAAGCATCAAGAGATCCAGTGAAAACTATTAGGCAAGTGAAGATATCCAAATTATTCACTTAACAGTCTGTCATAGTTTTGATTGCAAATGTTTCCCTATAGTACAGGTACAAATCTTTCTCCCCTCTTGCTGTTTGATAGAAAACATTGTTCTCTCTCCTCCATTTTAAGTAGAAAAAGAAACAGCATATAAGCAAAGTACAGAGAAGAAAAGGAGAAAAGCCAGTAAAATAAGGACTGTTTCTTCCTCATTTAAGTATCAGATATGGACACCAGATAAGAGTGAAAATACACCATGCTTCGCTCTTGGAAATGCCAGCAAGGTCCAAAACCCCTCCTCTCCCTCCCATCCTTCCTCCTTCCCTTCCCCTTTCTCTGGCAAAAGCCAGTAATACCTACAAATATTTTTTATTTTCGTAAACGTCATGCAGCTTTAAAACATGGGGATGCTCTATCAACTTCAGGATGGCTATTTCCCGCTCCACCTGGAAAAAAAAACAAACAACAAACAGAAATACAGAAGATTAGAAGCTAGATATTGGAATGCATCATATATCATAACATTCTCTTCCCACTTACCTATTTCCCACTCCTCTTCATATGCATAGGAATCTTCAACTTACAGCAATATTTAGCACTAAATAAAGTATTTTTTAAAAAATTACGTGGTTTTAGCACTCCCTGCAGTGGAGTGCAAAACTGGCAACATTTTGAAGTTGAAAGAAGAGTCCCAAACCTATTAGTCAGTGTCAGGAGCTCTAGGAGCATTTGAAGCTACAGCTGCCTCACTACCCAAAACCCTGACATGCTCTGAAAGTACAGAAACTCCGACATGGCACTGAGGGCTCTCTGACCTCTCATATGCACGAGTGGCCACATTGCATTACGCACTGCATGCTCCTGAAGAACTGGCATCGTATGTAGGAGAAAAGAAGGGCAGAAGAGCATTGTTATTTTGGAGCTGCAGAACTGAGGCACAGAAAGAGAAAGAAATAAAAGAGGTGACATAAGAAGTACAAGGTACTATAAGAAATTAAACCCAATTACTGGAGCTTTGGTGTTCAGATCCTTAAGCGTAAGACCTTGTTTTCTCTCAATTCCCAATCTGCCCAAGCGCAGCTACTTCTAAGAGCGTGTCTTCAACACTGAGTTAATAAGTTGTGACTAAGTCTCTGTAATTAGCACAAGTCTTGCTCTTACCCAAAATTCCTATCATGACTGCAGTGTGGTTTTAACTTGAAATTACTAAGGGTATTCATTAGAGATGAAGTCAGAGCAGCTCCTCAGCTGCTAGCAAAATTGCTCAGTGCTGCTCAAAGCCACACTGTGACTGCTCTGATTTGACCTAGGCTAACTTGAAGGGAGTTAACATAGCACTGTGGAGTCTGTAGATAACTGAAATAAACTCTGCAACAGCATGCAGTCTAAGCAACACAGAAATTTCCAGGAATCCAAAAAGCCAAGACAGTGCCCTAAAGACAAAAACAAGAACAACTACACAGGGCTTTTTTTTTTTCAGTTCTTCAAATAAATGATTGTCTTGAAGTTGCTATCCTAACAATCCAAACATGAGCAAACTACAAAAGCATCCTTGAACATTTCCTCAGCAGGGCTCAGACAAATAATTAGGAACTTGTTTCAGTATAGCCTTAGTTCTTGATGTCATTTAATTTCCTGAGATATCATCCTCTACTAAACCAGAACACAGGCAACTTTCTTTGAGTGCTAGTAAGATGCTCAGCAGGAAATCAGAAAGTACTAGTTTTCCAGCAATAAAAAGGGGAAGAGGATCTCCCGGCACACTGGCTATCACCACAGATCTCTCTTCCTCAATACTACCACACAAAAGCATCACACTTGGCTTTTCTTATGTATGGATGGAGAAAAGTGTGCTTTTTCATGTGTCAGTCTTATCCCTTCAAAGAGATCTGCAGACTCAAAAGAGAGACCCAACTCCACACTTGTGATCTCTGGTAACAGCTACTACAAAGAAATGAGAAGTGTATCAGGAGGCTCTACTGGATTTGTGTACATGCATCAGCATGTAAACATACCAGCACACAGCATTTTCAGAAATAGTATGAATTCAGAGATACACAGCACCTGATGTTGACAACTCTGTAGGCATAACTGGCTCATGACCAGCACGCAGATGAAAGCCACTCATACAAACAGGAAACAACCTGAAGAGACCTCAACTGAACAGCTACTCCACTGAAAAAAAATGGCAGGAGAGCTAGTCTATGTAATTTTTACCTCCTCTTCAAAAAAACTTGTTACTCATTTACCCTATGGGATACAGTGACAGATACACATTTGCAGAGAGCTCGCTGAAGTTGGACTTGCTTCAAGGATGAGGAAAACCAAAACAGAAAAAGCGTTTCCTCTCACAGCTCTCCAATAGCAATCAGATTCAGACATTAGCATTGTGCACCATAACTGCTCAGAAGCTGAAGCTTCCACAGCACAGTTCTCCTTGGGTGAGACCGGATAAGTCCAGGGGAACATGACCACTGCACTAGCTATGATTGTGGTCTTTCAAATCCATTCTCCATCCTGTGAGTTTCCTGCCACTGTACAATAAAACTCCCTGTACGTGTGCTGAATGACTGCACTGGAGATTCACTTCCGAAAAACCTCTTGGTGGGTGCTTTGGCAATGAACATTCAGACCAAGTAAATGATGGATAGCAGCATCCCAGCAGGGTCCTGCTTGGCTACTGTCCTAAAGCGAGAGATGAGGCAGTGATTTACGAGTACTGCTCAGAGAGGGGGATCCAGTTACAGCACTGCAAGGCCTGTGTTCAGTAAGAGAAAACCAGACAAGAAAGCAAATATCTACTTATTACATACATACTTAGTCTACAAAGCTATTAAAAGGAAATAACCCAAGTTCCTTTACTTCCAGCTCTTTAAGTGTAAGAGCGTACAAGGTCCTACACATATTTTTACCTTCCTGGAAACAAAAGTCCCCAGAGGAAATACAGTTTCAAAGGTCTTGACTTCAAGCTCAGGTATGCAGAAAACATCCAGCTTGGCAGTGCTTGGCAGCACTGCCCTGCAATGTATTCAGCTATGTGCTGCACTTCCTCAGCCAGCTTTCCAGCCTACTACTTATTTTCTATCTGTAAACCAGGGATAAAACCAACCTACCCTTCCAAGTGGGACCTATAGAAGCCTTCAGTGAGAAGGAGCTTTATGAAGGAAAAGTGACTGTACTTCTCACTGTCTGGGCCCACTGACTGTCATGGTTTTTGCTATTGGTATTCCACGTCGTAACACCACACAAAGCACGTTAACTAGATCAATCTGTGCCCAGGACATTGACAAAACACGGGTGGCTGTACTGCTTCAACAAGAGACTCCCAGGACTCTGAACAGCCAAAATGACCTTCCTCAAAAATCTGACAGCGGTGCCCCATCTCTTCTCTCTTCCAAAGAAATATGAGGGTTCCCAAAAACCTGCAGCGGACCACCTTCTCAAGGCAACAACTGCAGCTTTTGTCTTTGGATGACTCTTTTGGTTCCTTTTCTCACCAAGAAGCCAGGAACTGTGCTGGATATGGACTGCAGATCTCACTAGCAACTTTACTGATGGCACCAAAGGAGAGGTATTACTTTTTTACAAAATAGAAGAGGCCTGATAAAGCAGGCAGCTTTGCCTTCTTCCCTAAAGCTCTGGCAGCTATTGCCATGCCTGTTTTTGTGCACTCCTGTGCTTTCAGGCTGCACAGTGCTGTCCAGCTCAGAACTGGCAAGGACGGGAGAGCATAGAAACCCTGCAGGGGTGTTTGCTTTAATGCAGAAGCAATTATCAGAAAGCAGGCCAAACTCAGAATAGCCTGTCTGGGGAGGCTCAGAGTCTGTGATAAACAGCATACATGGAGAAACATCTGCACAGTAGTTTTAAAAAAGAGGAGCCCTCTGAATCACACAGACACCGGGGCATGCGATGGGATCCCAGCAATAGTCTGGGCTGCCTCATACCAGAGCAGGTTATTGACTGTGCAGCACACCAATGCCTTGGAGCTAAAAGGAAAAGCAGTGAAAGTCTGTGCAGGGCAAATGCAGACACACTGCTAACTTGTAACTGTGCAGGTGCCAATTAGAGGCTTTAAAAATCTATGCAGGAGGCTGATTTGACAGGATGCTCCAGTGATTCAGCTAATGACGAAGAGCAACATGAGGGCAACGTGACCCTTAGAGGAATACTGCAAAGCTCCACTTCTTGTCTGCCGCCTCTACTTCATCCTCCTTCTCTCCCAGAGGAATCTGCCTTGTTTAAACCCATCTCATCAGCACAGTTTCCACTGCTGACAAGTGCTCTGCTCCCTCGCCTTCCAAATCACAGACAAGCGGGGTGCAAATTCACCTACAAAGCAAGGAGAGCAGATGGAGGGAGCCACATGCGTCATCTTCATCACATATGTCTCAGTGATGAAGAAAGGTTCCTTTCTTCTTGTATCCACATTCAAAAAGGTGTCCTGGCTGGTGAGGAGCAAGAAAGTCCTGCAGGCTGTACATTTGTTGTGAATTTTTCCTAATGGGCAAAACCAAAAGTACCAGATAGTAAGAAACCAATCTCTTCCAGTTCTCTGGAAAGTCTGCATTTTTGCCATACCAGTTCACATTCTGTGAACAGACCTTAGAATCTTCCTACTTTTGCTACCATGAAGCATATGTGGGTCTGGAAGTTAAAAATCATAAAAAATGACTTGCTTTGGTGATGACCAAAGTTTTCATGCTTTTCCATGATAGCAGAATAAAAAAAAAAAAAAAGACTATTCTTGAGGGAACAGCATTAAAACAGAAATAGTTTTATACAAGTAACTGCAAACCTAGCATGTCCCGTGGGGTCACTGCTGTGGGGATATCATTCTTCCAAACTAACTTAAATCATTACAATAATGTAAGCAATATCACGTTGGATTACTTGTATCATTACTTTCAATGGAAACATAAACAGGCTAGAAGTGGAAAAGAACAGTTTTTAAATGATGAAACATTACAAGATCTTCCTCTGCAGCTCTGAATTTAATTGATATCTCACTTAGTGAAAGTAGCCTTTATTACATTTATCCCAAACTTCTTCAGCAGGCCATTACAGAAGCAAATGGAGAACCACAAAAGTTGGCTACCTACAAGAGAGCATTTCCTGCTGCTATTTTAGCCATTAGCTTCAAATTTCTGAATATAGTGGGCCAGATTCAAAGTGTATTGAAGTCAACAAAAGACATCAATTGACTTAAGTGGGCTTTGAATCAGACCTTCTAATGATCATTAAGTGGTATCTGGAAGGAATCTTCTATTACACAATTTTGACTAATTAAATGCTTTAACATGAATTCAGGTTTTCTGCTAAGTACTGGTAATTACGAGAAGATTCTATAAAAAGTGGATAAATGCGGAGGGGAAACTAGATTTAGATATACATAGAATCAGGCAGCTAAACAAAGCTGTACAAAATACAACAAACAGACAAAATT